GAGGCCTGAAACAAGAGGTCTCCATCTCATATGTTCCAGATGAGGACCACATTTTTCCACTGCTCTCAAAAGGATTTAGCAGGAACTGGTTATTTTATCCAGTATTAGGCAATGTTTAGGAAAACCTACAAAACTATCTGCATGTGGTATGGCTGTTTCTTACAGTAGCAGGGGGATGCAGCAGAGTGATAAAGCAAAAACCCCCTGACAGGATGAACTGACAAGTTCCAGACATGTCAAGCAGAAAGGGGGAACAGAACAAAGATATTTGCTTATCCTCAACTCTCACTTGAACCAGCAGGCAGTGTGAGCCACAAAAGGAAGAAAGTGTTATTCTGTTCTAAATACTTAGGAGGCAAATCTGCACATGCAACCCGAGGATGGACTTTCAAGAGGTATCTATAAAGCAGCAGCTGGTGGATGAAAACACTGAATTCAACTGATGTATTTCTACAGTGCTGGATTAGTTTACAGAAGTTCAGGGCCTAATTATTTAGACTCTCCCAGAGAAAAGCAGCAGCGAAGAAAAATCTGCAGAACTTTGGCAGCTGAACAACACATCCTGAACAGTATTCTGTTGGTTTTTCATCTTGCTCTGACTCATACAACATTCTGGAAACCCAAGGACTCCTGTGTTTCCAGAAAGCTCCCGAGCCCCGGGGCTGTTTCAGAGGCGTGCCTGTATCTAAACCAGCAGTCACCCAAAAGTAATGATTAATCACAGATAAAACTGTGCTGCACTCTCACTTGTGCATTCTTCCTTGAAGTTCATTTTATTGAGTTCTGGCTTTGGAAAGGCTACAGAAAACAGAGCTAATCCATGTGCTTTTCCGCTATGCCACACCTAGAGAGAAGGGGCAGCTGGAGGCCAGCCTGCTTCAATTACCTTGTCATCTGTAACAATCCTCCTTCACAAAACCATTTTAAAGTACTAAAATCCAATCTAACAACTTGTCACTTAAGGCACACACCTAAATTCTGAAAGCCAGGCTGAGATAAATGATCTGCCCTGAATATTTAATGTGCCTCTATCCGCAGAAAGTAACCGCAAATCACGAGACCGAGAAATTCTTTCCTTCTTTTAGAAATATTTCTCACCAAACAAGGGACTTGAGAATAAAACATGTCTGGGTTTTATTCAAGCCGTGGGATTTGGCTATTGAATAGGATTTGGAAAGACAAAGGAAACCTAGAAGGGAACAAGTGATGCCAGCTGTTACCTTATGGATTTCCTCCCCCTCCCTGGATTCCAGCAGACACTGATGGGTTGTGCCTTACCCCCTAATCCCCACGGGACATGCTGACAGTAGCATTTACTGCACACTGGGGAAAGCTTTTTGCAATGTTTTCCTGCAGTGGGTTTGCCTCTCTGCTCTGTGATAGCACTGTCAGACTGCTCAGGACAGCAACTGGACAACAAATTAGTACAGATGGGGGATAACCTACCAGAGGTACAGCCCACCCCTCTTAAGTCTCTTTTGCCATTACCAAAGCTGTAACACTTGCTGAATTAAAAGATCTCTGCTGTGCTGCCAGAAGACATGTTAGCCAAGAGGACAGCAAATGGGTATAAAACCAAAGGGGTTTGCTGGAGGCTACAGGCAGGGGTTGATTTCTTTGCCAGTCACAAGGTATCACATGCACCCACTGTTCCACATGGCTGAAGTGAGTCAAATCTGCTTTCCTGATAAGACATCCTTGTACTACATGAGGAGGCTGGAATACTGTTTGAGTAAAAGCCTCCTCCTACCGGTGAAGGTTCTCAAGGCAGGAGAGATGGGAGAGGGAGCCAAGCGATGAAAGGAATCCTCCAAATTCCTTTGGGAAAAATTGTTTAAGACCTCCAGTGGCTTTTGCCATAAAATAAAAGGGAAGTCTTTTGCCTTGGTCTCTACACCGTTACAGAATTTGTATGAAACACTGTATGACTTCTGCTACCTCTCATCCCAGCCCTCAACTTCCCTCTCCAAAGAGTAACACAGGAGCTTTGCTGTTTGCCATGGCAGAGGGGCAGGAGAGCCTCCTACCCAGCCCTGGCTTCCTCACCATCGGCCATGGAGCTGAGGACCACACCACCAACGGGAGGTGAAGGAGACTGCTTTTAGTGCAGAAGACCAACCAATGTTTTTTCAAGTTCACAGAGACAGTGGCCATGCCTTCACCTACAGTGCTGTTGTGAACCAAAGCTCCAGCACAAGATGTGATCAATCAAATGCACACAGAACCTGTGGAGACACCCTTCCCCAGTGTGATCCTCAGGCATCACTTTGGCTGTTGTCCAAAGCAAGTGATGAATAATTGTAAGAAATCGGTGAAGGTACAAACCCCTTTGTGTTTTTAATATCTTTACAGGAACCAAGTTAATACAGTTCCTCTGTCATCTTATTCTCCCTCAGAGAGAATGGAGAGAAATTCCATCTGGAAATCCAGGTGGCTGAGCCCTGTAACTCTTCCTCCTGAATCCCCATATAAATAAGCATTCATATTCAGAATTTTTCTGTTTTAAAAAAACAGAATCATTTGCCTTTTTCTTTAAGCTTGGTACCATGTTTCTTTAATGTTGTTGTGAGATACTGCACCCATCTTTCAGCATTTGATTGCCTTAGGTGACCTTATTGAAATGGTCCTATGGTTCAAAGCTCTCAGAAGCGCGGTATTAAGGCATAGAACGTGAGGAGTTTTCTTTCCAGGGAGCAGACTGTATTTGTATTACATTCCTTTAGATGCTGAACTGCAAATCCCATCCCCTTGGAGCCAAAAGGGGAAAAGACAGTTAAAAATATCCCAGCAGTCATACAATCAGTTGTCTGTAATTTTTTTTTGAATCTTTTTTAAAAAAAAAAAAAGGAAAAAAAAAAGGAAAAAATATCCCATAGGTAAAGACAGAACAGAGTTCCAGATATGGGTTCTTGGGAGGGGTTTTCCATTCTTTTTGGCACCTTGTGACTCTAACAGCTGTTGTCCTCCCATTTAAAAATCTGACTTTAAAAGGAGCTGTTTATCAGCTATGTTTTGAGCTGTTACAGTTGTGGTTTGTTTCCTGTGAAAGCTGCTTTAGGATTCCTGCCATCCCATGCCCACCCCGCATCACTCCAGCTCCTCCCACCGGTTCTTCATTCACTGGTTGCCTGTCCTTGTGGCATTGCAGATGTGATGACTCCAGTCTGGGCTGGGACTGCTCCACTGGGCTCTTCTATCCGGGGTCTTTTCACTTCAGGTTCACTGGAAGAGGTTGCTGCCGTCTCCTCGGTCCCTGTCTCGCAGACCCGGCTGACTACAACAGGAGTGGACGAGCTGGCCTGGGCTGCAAGGAGCTGCAGTGGGTTTGTAAGAGCTGGGAAGGAGGGCAAGAGAGAGAAAGGGATTTAGTGTGATGAACTAGCACAAGTGTTTGCTATTCCAGAAAGCAAGAAAACAAAACGCCGCGGGTCAAATGCGACAGCTGGCACACGGTCAAGTGTTTTTCAGTCCATTTTGAAAGGCTTGTTTGCCTTGTCTCTCCCTCTCCATTCACAACCCCAGCTTTGTGCAAGTTTACCAAACCAGGAATAACCCTGTTCATAGGAGAATTTCCTTCCTATTCACTGTCAAACAAGGCATTGCTAGCTAAGCATTCATCTGCAGTAGGGGAGGATCAAGTCCTGGTAAAAACCACAGCACACCTCCTCTTTGAGAGGTAGTTCTCTGATCACCTACAGTCAGAACTCCTTGCAAGGTACAACATCTTTGTGCTGGGCCTTCAGTTGGGAGGTTTAGGGGCTCCCTTGAGCTCTGCTCACACAGGAAGAACAGACAGGCTGTTGGGAAACTAGATTAGTATCCAAATGTTAAGTGTACTGCCATCTCATTTGTAAAAGGGGCAGAAAAGAGATTACCCTACACAACCACGTGTTCCCATCAGATCTGGGATCGGGACATAGGAATTTCTGGCTTCCAGTCTTGTATTTCAGTACTAACACAAGATCTCACTCTTCCATTAATAAAAATGGTGAGAAAAAAGACGGTTTAAGTAGCAACCCTACATAAAAATGTCTACAATTCCTAGTTCCAGACAGAGAATGTGCTTACACACTGGCTTTGGCACACAGCACCGCTTGGAAAACAAAACACATGCAGTTTTTGGACTCTGCTTCAATCGGAGAGGCAGCCAAAGGGGACTCAGGAGACAGAACATCCTCTGCCCTCCAGACTGATTTGCAAAGGATGGAATCACAGAACATTAGTGCTGTGTTCACTGCTAAATGCATCAAAAAAGGGGCTCTAGGATAAATAACAAAGCAAGCAGAACAAAGGCCCTCAAAGCCCAGCAACTTCTACCAAGGCATGGGAAGGAGGCTGTAGAGTATCAAGAGGATGAAGGGAAAAAAAACAGGGTAAGGATGAGGGCAGTCACCAATTACAGTTCAGTGACTCAGGGAACCTAAACCGTGCAGCTGAAGAGAAGTTAACTTTGTACAGAGGAGAGTCAAGAGACTCAGGATTTGTTTTGTGAACTAGAAAATTCACTGCCAGTTACCAAAAACACTCAGATGCAGCTGGAATACTTCCCAGTTTGACGACAGTTAGAAAAATTTTGGTGAGATTAAAATATCTTAACATAAAAATGTTAAATAAAAAGCTGGCTGATTCTATATTAGACAAACCCTACTGCTGGGTAGTAGAAGCTCAGCCTATCTGATCTATAAATATCTTAATATCCTACTTGCATAAAAATCTTATCATCACCATTTTTTCATTGCTCCAATAAGATCCTTGCAATTCAAGTGCAAGCCAGGTGATAACTGTGAAGAGACATGGCAGAAAATTCTGTAGAAACATTCCTACCTTCATGAAAGCCATCCAAATCCCACCAGTGCCCTTCATTTCACACTCCCCAGAAGCACTAGCCTAGGGCAGCAGAGGTGCTTGCCATCTCACTGAAAAGGGCTGTAAGACACCTGGATATTATCATCCCTAACTGAACAAAACCTGAGGTGCTGTGCAAGCAAGATGAGGAGGCTGCTAAGACACGGCTCATATGGAACTCAAAAAAAATCAGGCTTGACAAATTACTAGACACATCCTGTGTATACAAAAATCCTACAGTCATTCATTCACCTGGTGAAACAGATCTTATTTCTCTCAGGCTCTAAGACCTTAAGATGGGAAAGTATTTTATTTTCTTAGTACTCTACGGAGTCAAGTTTCACAAGATCTAAGGAGCAGCATGGAAATTTTATTATTTGGCATGCTGCAAGCAAAGGCTGCTGGTCAGAAGAAAATAAATGAAAACAGGCTCTCCACAAGAATCACTGACACTTTCAACAAGTAACCCTCAAAATGCAGAGAGTCTAAGCAGTTAGAACTGCATGGCCAAGGGCAAAGGAGGGACACTGGGTTTTCAGTAGTAATGCAGGACTTTTCCACCAGGAAAGGGAGAAGAGGTGGACACAAGGATACCTATCAATGACATTTACAGCCGCAGAAGTTGAAGAACTGGAATACCTCTGAAGTGGACACATGGAATAACTTGATACACACTAATCAAAAAGAGAAAAGGCTTACAGCTTTCCATGCTGCCTGCCGAGCGCAGGGAGCAGCCCCACCCCAAAGCCAAGGGAGCAGAGCCTACCGTAGGCGTTGCCGGCGATGCTGTTGGTGGGCACGGCGTGTTTGCCGTTCTGGGTGACCGCCCGCACCGGGAGCTGGTGCTGCCCGATGGCCACTGGAGCTGCCTGCTGAAGGATCGTGACTGTCTGCCCAGGGACACCCTGTGCCATCTGACTGGTGACGGTCTGGATGACACGGCTGGCTGTGGGGATCGCGGCAAACGCGATCGTTGGCTTTTCATCCATTCCTGTTGGAGAGCAGAGGAGATGACAATCACTCCCCACCCTGGCTCAGGAGCTGGTTTTGTTCTCACTAACACCTTAGCAGCGCTACAAACCCCAGGCTTACAGATGTGACAGTACCTCAGCACCACAGAAGGCCAGGGGTGAGTATTTGGAAACACTAAAATATTCTTTACTGCACATTTAAGCTAGCAATATTAAGAACATTTTTCTTATAGCATAAGCCACTCAGCAAAAAAGGAAAACTTAAAAAAAAAATCAAGACTATCAACTTGATTGCTCTAAAAGGGCATCACCTCCCTTATTGGCTCATTATAGCTGTGATATGGACAGCAGTCTCTGCAAAGCTCAGAGCTTACAATGTAATTTCAAACAAACTGGTCTGACTTTCAATACCACACAGCAGGAGAAGGCACTAAGATCTTAAACAATGCCTGGAGCCAAAAGTCTGCAGCAGCTTGCTGTCAGGCCTGAATGCAGGTTGATTTAGAAGGAGGACTTCCCACAATTGCAAGCTTTTGCTATGGAATTATACGAAGAAACCAGGAGGGAGTAAAAATAAAAAATAAAAAGTAGGGCTGAGTTCCTGGACAGAGGTAACTGCTTGAGAGCACTCAACCACTTTTCTCACTTCCTAGGAAAAGTAAGGGGTCAATTCAGCAGGTATGTAACAGATACAGGACAGCATCCTGCTGGGCATGCAGGAAAGCAGAGGAGAACCATTCTTCTCTTCAGGGACTCCATGGGTCTCAAAGCAGAGAGGGCAAGAAGCACAACCTCTTAGTCCTGTAGGAAAAGACCTCTCCCATTTTAACAACACGAGTTGAGTTAGATGGGACACGACCACTGAGCTGAAACCTGCAGGCAAGCTGATGGGAAGTGCGAGAGAAAAGGCAAGAAAAGCAGAGAGATTAGGAAGGAAAATGCAGCACTCAGGGAAGGTGGAGACCAGAAAAGGATACAAGTGGGAATAACAGTGGGACAAGCAGGGAAAGAACAAACAACAGCAAGAGCTAGTGAATGAAAGAAGGGAGCAGGTGACAGGCAGCTGCAACTGTTAGCACTTCAGGAACATGTATGGGATCCAGACAGGAATTCCTAGAGAATGTAAGTGAAACTCCTGCAAGATAAGCAGTGCTGAACTAAAAATGCCAATGGTCCTGGTAGTCCAGTAGGGGAAGCTCTTTGTCATTTTTTTCCTTCAATGGGGAAATTCTCCCACTGCCCACATGAAAGCAGTCAGAGAAACCAGCCTTGTTCATGGTACAACACACATCTACCTTGTAGCACTAAGACCTTCCCAAATGGGGAGCAGACAAGGTGTTGTCTAGATCACAGCAACGGAGCATTTAACTCACTAAATCCCCCAGGCTGGAATTTCCAACTTAGGAACAAAAGAGGCCTTTGTTGTAACTGGTTTTTGAAGATTGCTTTAATGGGGCACTGCCTGCACTTCCAGAAGCACATGCTTTCCTCTAGGAATCCAGGTCTTTGGAAAAGAAGGGCTCAATCATTCATTTACAAGGCTATCCTGAAGCAGAGTTTCAGCCTTTCCCAGGCCATCTCTTTTGGCTGGAAAACACACACTTCCACAGCACGTCCAGCTGATCAATATACAGGCATAATATCAATATTGGGGATAATTACAAGAGCACATAGTGACAGGTCAAAGGAGAATGGCTTCAAACTGAAAAAGAGCAGGTTTAGATTAGATATTAGGAAGAAATTCTTCCCTGAGAGGGTGAGGAGGCCCTGGCACAGGTTGTCTAGAGAAGCTGTGGCTGCCCCATCCCTGAGATTGTCCAAGTCCAGGCTGGATGGAGCTCTGAGCAACCTGGCCTAGTGGGAGGTGTCCCTGCCCATGGCAGGGGGTTGGAATGAGATGATATTTATGGTACCTTCTAAACCAAATCGTTCTATGATTCTACAATAATAAACAAATTTTAAGCAGAGCATGTTTTTTCAGGCTCCAAAGTCTGTTAGTGTTGTTCCCCACAGGAGACAAGGGAGCACAGTTGTCTTGCTCTCTGGTGGAGAGAACAAATGGACGAGCTCTCATTTGGTTTATGTTATACCTGGAGAAACATCTTTTTTTAAGGGCTAAGTGCCCAGTGAGTGGAACTGTTCAACCACTCTCCCCCTTCCAAGCCTGCTCAAGACTCATAAGCAAAGTAGCAAGGGAGGTGAAAAGCTACCTCGATGGTCACCAGCTAAGTCCAACACTGCTCCTGCAGCTTCGTGAGCTCCTCCTGCTGTGCCCTGGTTTGTGAGGATGTATCCGTTTGCGGAGTTTGCAGAGGAAGTCACAACTCGGACCATGGTAACAGTGGGAGCTTGTTGAACTACGTGAATTGCGTGACAGGAAGGCTGCTGAGAAGTCACTATTGATGCTGGCATGTACGCCACTGGCTTTGCCACCAGGGTAGATGGTCGGGGAGGAACAGCCATAATCACTGGCTGGGCACTCACTGGAGACCCTGAACAGAAGAGAGAAGCACACGATAACAAGAAAGGCAAAAAGACCTTCATCCATTTAATCTATGCACTTCTAGTCTGCAATACTCAATCCTTCAGTATTGGCAGGAATGGAGATAGAAAAAAAACATCAAGACTTCAAAAAATACCACCCTCAAACTTCTTTTTCCTAATGTACAAAAACCTTACTTGTCATCTGACCACATTTCTGTGAACAAAAATCACAATAAATATAACACATCCTCCCCAAAGAAACTTTACTTCATGAGCTTTGCCTTCCAACTTCACCCTACACTCCAGGCCAATTACAGCACAGCTGACAAACGGGTATTTACCAGGCCCTGGCCACAGCACCAGAGCTCTATGTAGCCAAGCTGATCTTATCCAGAGGCTGTTAAATTAGTGACAGTGAGCTCTGGACTGCCACAGCTACTCTGCTGTCAGGTCTTTACAGCCACCTAGTTCAAGGTTAGCTGAGGTGTTTCCACACATTCCACCTCCTGCCCCCTCATCCAGAGACTAGTAAGAAAAATGGTCTGAAGTTGCACATGTATCATCAGTCTCTCAATGAAGTGAAAAGAGACACCCCTAGATCCTCCTGTAACACACTGCAGAAGCCTTCCTGCTGTGTCCTCAGCATGGCACATGGTGCTACTGAACAATCACCCTCTGTGGAACAAGAGCTACTCACCAGGTGCACTCTGGGAATACCGATATTCCGGAACTGAGGCTAACTTTGACCCAAAGTCGTGATCATGTGGAATGGGTGAGCCCTCCCGTGACAGGCACTCTGGAGTCTGTAGGCCACTAGAGTGAGGGGACAGCAGGCCAGGGTGAGTAGGGGAGGCAGGAGCACTCCTGAAACACAAAACGTAGTGTTGGCAAGTGTAGATGCATTTTGACCACAAGACAGCAGCAGAGACCAAGAGTTTTCTCCAATACAGGATCCTCTAGCAGAAGGACAGCCTTTCTCCCATACTACCCACTGCAGTCTAGCTGGAAAGAGTTAAAAGGTACACAGCAACCTCACAAATGCTCTAGCACCAAATACTGTCATATTATTCCTTGTTGAAGGAAACTGGGCCCTTCAGAGTATGCTTAACATTTCATTATAAGACCTGCTGCTGACAGAAGCTTTAAGTGATTCATGTTCAGATCAGTTTTATAACTTCAGATCGTTCTCAAAGCACCTTGGTCAGTGTTTGAGAGTGACAGGGAGAGGAAGAGAAAGAAAGATGCAACATAGAGGCAAGTGACTGGCCCTGCATATGCTTTCAGAGCCACTGCTCCCCTTCGCCCCATTGCCACCCTCCCCAACTACTTGGTTCCCACCTCTGGTACCACACAGCCAATTGAGGAATTGTACATTTCTCTAATGACAAACCAAATAGAAAAGCTGAAGAGCTCTTTTCTAAACTCCTCCTGCCTACCCCCTATTTTAAACAGACAGAAAAGAGGAGGTGTGGGAGGAATGTTACATGAAACTGCTCCAGCTAGTGCTGAATTGCAAGTCTCATCCTCACAGCTACAGGGCTCAGAGAAGCTGTCATTGCACAAGGCAGAGGAGCTGACTGGAGCAGCTACACAGAACCCCTGTTGTTGCTTCACTGCTGACAACCACGATCAACCTGATCTTCACTACAGGAGAGTGTTTTAAATACCACAGAAGTTATTCCCACTATGATATAATCCACATCTAAACACAGCTTTCCTGAAATCAGAGACTGGCATCTGAAAACACTTACCCCAGTGATAACTGCTTTGAAATGATGCCAAAACAGATATATTATTTAATGCATTTTTGCAGTTTGGTTCTGCTTTTTTTTTTGTTAAACACTTAAGAAGTCAGAATCATTTTCAGATTATGCCTCAAGACTGTATCACCTCTCAAACTATAAACAGAAGTGAACTTTACTCACTGTACTTCAGGAGAAGTTTTAGTTTGTTTTCTTTATAATGAGTCTGGCACAGAGATTAGAGGAAATTGAAATTACCTGGAGGAGAGAGGCCCAAAAGGTGTTCGGAAGCAGGACACTCCTCTTTGCCTTCGTTTTCTAAATGCTTGTTCTACTAGTTTGGCTTCAGAGGCAGGGTCAATTCGCCAAAAGGAGCCCTTTCCAGGCTCCTCTTGGGAGCGTGGGACTTTAATAAAGTAACGGTTCAAGGAGAGGTTGTGCCGAATGGAATTCTGCAGGAAGCAGAGGAATGAGGTGATTATTTTGCCATGAGAAAGCACGTAACAAAGACAAATGAGTTTCACCACACAGCTCGGAAAAATAAAACTCACACTGCCAGAATCAGTGTTGAGGACAGAAACAAGTCACTCAACTCACACAGTTCTGAAGTCACTGGAGAAGTGCAAGAGAAAACCTGGGGAAAAGCATTAAGAGTTCCTACTAACGAGCCTGAAAGCTGGGATTGCTTGGTACTAACCACCACTTAAATACATCTGGAGCCAGGCAGTGCAGTGACTTCTCTGTGGAAAGCAAGGAAAGCAGAGCCTTTGCTGAGGCAGGGGGAAATCGCTGTAAACCACATCAGAACTCTCTCAAAAGACAGGCTTTATTCTAGGCAAGCGGAAAGAACTGCCCGAGCCTGTGCTAACTGCTCACCTGCCAAATGATTACTGGGGTGCCCAAACATGCCCTAAAGGACACTGCATCTCACAGTAATCATAATGTAAGCCAGCCAACATGCTCTTAGACAGCTGGCTCTGAGAGGAATCCATTACCTGTGTGGCACTAGGCTAGCACTGTGCAGCTCTCTAGATGCTGACAAGACTATTTATCCTTTCCATTGGAACAACCCACCTCTTACTGGGTGTAGCGCTGGCTTTTGGGCTTGGGGAGGGGCTCAGCAAACCCAGGTGTGCACAAACTCATCCCTCTTCCACTTTCAAAACAAAACAAGAGCTTTTGTAGCAGGTTTAGACAATCTCTTCACAAGTAAAGCTTTTCAATGCCACTGGAGGGGAGGGAAAACGGCAACTTCACCCTCCACTGAGATGCAGCTCTCTGAAGCAGGAGGCAGCAACTGGTTTGCAAAGCACAACTCTGCCGAGCAGGTTAGGGCAGGAAGTGAATTCCACAATTAATTAGAACTGCAGGGAAAAGCCAGGGAGGCAGAAATGTATTTATTCCAACTGTACTCAAAGTGCACCAAGCAGCTCTGCTCCTGCCAGTAGAACACAATGAAATCAGCAGCTGCAAGAGCCTTTCCAGCTGCATCGGTGTGTTATATTCAAATGACAACACCCATTTGAGAAGTGTGATGCCAAGAAAAAGTCTGAAAGCAGGTGGAGCTGAGGTTCCTGGAACTTTGAAAGCAGCCCTGAAGTGAACACTGAACCCTGATTTAGCATGTGTTAACTATATTCAAACTCTCCCATGAAGCTGGTCAGATTTCCTTTAATACCACAAGGAGTGCACAGACTCTCAGTTTCCCAAGTTCTCACTCAGATTCAAGACTTGCAAACTGTGATTTAGGCAATGCAGTTGATACACTCGGAAAACAAAACATCTGTAACGTTTTAAGGTACTGTGATTAAAAACTGGAACCTCAGTTTTAGGCTGGATATCCTCTGCTTGGACAGATCATGCCAAACAAAGATGAGGTGAAGGATTAAGCAAGTATCTGGGCAGAGCAGTGACTGATAACAAGGATGTAGGAAAATAAAATACAAACAAGAATTAAAGCTACATGACTACAGCATTAAAAGAGAAACACACTACATTGCCCTACAAAGTATTCCAAAAAAACTAATCATCCACAAACAAACTAGTCAGCTTGTGTTAAACAAATTCACTCTGGGAACAGTCAAAGCAGCTCTATTCCCAGTGCCCCAAATCTTTAATAAATGCATTTCAAAGCAGATAAGCCCTGTCAAAGTAGTTTAAAAGCTTGTCAGTGTCAAGAACTCACCTGCCAGCCTTTGTCAGCAGTCCTGTAATATGGATAATGCTTGGTAATGTGGGCATAGATCCCACTTAGTGTTAATTGCCTGTCCTGTGCTGAAGATATAGCCTGCACAATTAGCTGAGCATAAGAATAGGGTGGCTTGGACTCATCCTAAGGAAAAAAAAAACCAAACAGAAATTTAGTCACTAACAAAGAATACTTACACTACAGTGTACCACAACCCAAACTGAAAAAGCACAGATGCTAAGAGAGCAGCAGGGGCAGCCAAGAGAGCATCACCCTCTCCCATTTCACTCCTGTTTTATACTATCACCACCCAATTTAGCACAAGCATTTGTGTGCAAACAGAACTATAGGGCTGAGCCAGATAAAAGTATCTCCTTCCCTCTTCCCAACAAACACACACTAAAAAGCTAACTTCAATCTCATTCAATTCCCCACTGAATTTCCCACATGTGCTTACATCAGCACAAGGAACAGGGTCAGGAGAAGCAATTGGAATCAAGAGTTAGAGGGTGTAGGATACATTCCTTGCTTTCTTGTTCATGAAACTAGAGCATTCAAATCTGCCCAGCTACAGCTATACTTCCTTAGAAAGGTTTCATGTAGTGTGCTATCAGCCCTCCTCCCAGCAACGAGACCAACATGAAACCTGATCCCGTCCCTTCCCTTCTCCAGCAGGATTTGTTTCATTCTAGGTACTTTAATTTGTTTGCCAGATCTCATATTCCCAACTCGTCATATTACTCCATCAAAAACAACCCTTCTTGTCTCAAGGGAGAATTAAGTCTACAAAAAAAGCCATCTAGTACCGTGCTCCTCCACCCAACCCCAAATCAGGTGGTTTTGAATCCAGACCTTTAACTTTGATCTGAAGATCAGCTCACCAAAATTAAATTTTATCATTCTAACTAAGTTATTTTTTAATCTAAATTCCACTTGCCACTCTCCTCATTTAATGCCTGCTTGACAGGCCTTCATGTTTGTTTTAAAGTCTGACTACAGACTTCTCATGGCCAGGATCTGGTTTCTTCCCCTGCTTCTGCTTTCTCCAACTGTGTTTTGCAAAGTACCATTAATTAAAAGGAGAAAACAAGACTTTTAATTTTATTGTACCTCTTCCTTATGGGTTCTTGATTTATCAAATAAGCAAAAAAAAAATCTTATTGCTTAATCATTTTAATGGATTATTTGAATACATTTCTGGCAGCTAAGCAAGTAGATTCATCAGCTACCACTAACAAGATGCTGGTTTGAAGGCAAGGTCTCGAACCCCTGGAGGATACTGCACACAGCACCCTTATGGCCAGGGTATTCTTAGACCTCTTTTAACTACAACCAGGACTAGCCATAAAGCACCAGGTTTTTTTAAGCCTCCCAAGGAGCACTGCTGGGTAAGTAATGTCTCTGTGAACCTTTGGGCTGTCCCCGCCAGATGCATCTGCCTGCTGCTCTGAGGCTGCTTTTGCCGCATACTCTGCTGCCAGCTGCAGATCCGAGGTAATGTTGTGGACAAAACGATATCCTGAGGATCCAGCACCACGTGGACTGGCCGGGCAAGAGTTGGGAACACTGGAGAGGCAAAAAGAAAATACAGTTATTTGTTACTTCATTTATTAACAAGGCACACAGTAGTTACTCTCCAAGGTACGTTAAAGCTCTCAGGTCACGGGGAAGCAGATGCAATGGACGTACTTTTGCCCCTGTGGGTTATTCAAAGCCCAAACAGGTTGAGAAAAAAAAGCATTAGAGATAAAACTGGAATTTCTACAAAATCCTGACACTCCCCACCACACACACTTCCTGCAATCACAAGAGAGCAGTGTTTCAAAGCATTAAACAACTCCTCTGTGTTCAGACAAGCACTCAAAACAATGCAGGACCTCAAATAACAGAGTGTATCAGGGATAAATCCTTAACTAAACGAATAGCTTGTTATTATGACTTGTGAATGAACAACACACCACTTTCCTGATTACACAGGTAATATTTAATCAATCCCTCTAACAGACAGTAGCTATGTTCTTCTACAGGATCAGACTAAAGCACCCAGAGCAGGTATCTGCCACAAAGGTTCCTGTCTAACACAACACCTGAGCTTCAGAAGATCCCACCCTGATACCACACAGCTGGAGATGGGGATTTCCTTGATCCACCAGCACACTCATGCAGCTGACAAAGGGGAGCTTCAATCACTGCACACACACAGAGGCAGCTCAGTTTTGGCTAGAAAAGACACATTTGGCATCGCGGGGCCACCACAAGATGGCATTACAGGAACAGCGACGGAGCAGGACAGGCACGAAAGAGCTGATAAAAACGCTACAAACACATAAAAGGGGGCTGTAAATTGCAACACTACTCAGGCACACAGAAATGAGGGCTACAAGGCGAGAACTAATTAGAAAGGCTTGTCTAGAGATCACCCATCCTTGATTTGTGGGGTTGGAAGGACCACAGAATCACAGAATGGTTTGGGTTGGAAGGGACCTTAAATATCATCTTGTTCCAATCCCCCTACCACTGGCAGGGATGCCTTCCACTGGATCAGGCTGCTCCAAGCCCTATCCAACCTGGCCTTGAAGGATGGGAGAAGATAGATGAGTTTGGAAAACTGAAATTCCCTTTTTCTGTCTCTCCCCTGTCCTGTGCTGTCCAGAATTGAGGGGTGCAAAGCCAGAAGAGCAGGATGCTCAGCCAAATCCCAGGATTACATATGTTCTAGGTGCAGAGAAACAGTAAACAAGAAAGTAAACCAATACACAGAAGATTTACACAGCAAAACAAGCAGTCCAAATTGTATGAAAAGATGCAAATTGAAGCCCACAGCTGGGAACTAGAATTCAGTAAAACTGGCATAAACAATCCTCTTACCAGCGAAATGCCCAATAAGTGACAAACAAATACAGTCACTGACACCCATCAGAGCACTGGGCTAAATGCTGCACAAAAAACCACAGAACATGGTTCCTCCCTCAAAAAGGTGACTGACTTCCCCCCACACACATGTACACATGGGGATGGAGAGGAAGCAGTGAGACAACCCTTGTTTGCTCAGTGGGCAATACCTTGGGTGCATAAGCAATTTGTGAGTGTAAGGAATGACTGTTTCCTACCACAGTCCAGCCTGTAAACTGAAAAGTGCTGCTTCTCCTTGTGGTGTCTCTGCAAATGGCTGCAGTGCTGAGCTCAGCATAACCCAAACTGGTTTCTTTTAAAAGTGAATTACAGGATGGGGGGGGCCAGGGGAGAGAGAACAGGCAACAGAAATATCCAGGCACAACAAACCCTTGCAATAGGGAACCCAAGCTCACCCCTCTCCCATCAACAAGCCTTGCAAAGTGCTGCACAGCACCAGGTAACCCTTTCAGTGCCCACCAACAGCCCTTGGCATTACTGGGTGATGCTGTTCAGGAGTGCAGCAGGAGGTAAAGCTTTCAGGAGGTGCAAGGCATATAACGTTGATGAGCCCATACTTATAGATCTCCCTTTGCCAGAGATAAAGGCATTTCTTACTCAGCCTTTCAAAGAGCAGAGACCTGTTTGTGCAGGAAAATGAATCAAAGTTTGCTACTCCAAGCTAAACCACAGAAGACACTCTTGATGTCTTCGTATTCACATGAGGAGCTGGTGTGAATTTAATTATTCCGCTGTCATTTTTCAATAGCTTCTCCACATACACACTTCTTATAATGTGTAGATAATTACAAATGAAAGCCATTTTCATACATGAAACAATGACAAACCAAAAACACAGCAATTCTTTTTATCTCTGCGTTTGGCACCCAAGCAATTATTGTAACACACAGACTGGGAATGGAATAGGATGAAACAAGAGTTTTCTGATTTTGTTCTTTGGCTGCAGAAATACACAAACATCAAACCACAGAAACAGCAGCCAAAACTCAGGACAAAGATATGGAAGTTCTCCACTAAATCTGTGCTCTGCACAGAGTTGTATTTCTTGCCTTTTCCTTTTTTATTTTTAATTAATAAATAAACAAAACTAGATACAAGAATTTATTCCTTTCTTCGAGATCAGCAGAGCAAGTTCAGTTTTTGCTATTCAAACTCTGGTTTCTGGGGCTGATGAATTTTAAGTATGATCTCTGGCTTAAAAAACAAGCAAACAAAAAAACCCCTTAGGACAGCCACAGCAGTAGCCAAAGATCTGGAAGATGTATTAATCTTTTAACAGAATGGAGTCCTTTCGTCCAGGTAGATTTGCTTCCTTTCAGCCTGGATCAATGATCAAATCAAGAGACACAGGGACACAAAAAACACCAACTTTCAGCCACTCCATGCACAGACAGGACATGCTGCTGAGTGCTCAAGCTCTCAGTCAATCATCAGAGAGCTCTTCAGACGGAAGGCAGAAAGAGCTGACTACTGGAAAAAACAAGCAGACACAATCTGTTGCCCTCCCAACATGGGACAGGAGTGAAGAAACAGCTTTACTAAAAATACCCCTTTGAGGGTTAAGTTAAAATTAAACATTGGTGCAGTCAAAAGAAAACAAGCAAACACAATGCAGTGACATCAATTTCCTGGAGTTCCTGGAATTCTCCTCACCACCCAGAGCCGGGGACTGGCTGGGGATGCTTGCATGCACTCACACCCCCTTTAAAAATATTATGAAACAAAGAGCTTTCCCTACAAACACCTGCTTGTGCTATAAAACAAAAATCAAGTGGGAGGACAGTGATTATGATTTGTTGGATATTAATACTGCATCAATACTCAGCCATAACTTGATCCATGTTGATACTATAACCTTTTACTGAGAAAAGCACAGCCAGGTCTGCAATTTCACCCTGCTCTGACATCCTGACTCACTGCTGTGATCCATGCTTACTGTCCATGTTGGCAATCTTAGCTTACAGCAATCCAAGCTAATTCGGGTTAAGCTTGTCTGTTATGGAAGAGAACGTTTTAGAGAGGAAACAAGTGTTTTATACCACTGAAAGACACACAGGGCATGTAAGTAAACCAGTTGCAGTTACTCACAGTCTTAATCCCTTGGTGCCATGGTTAATGCCCCAAGTGTCAGAAATCTTTGATACTCACTGAAGGATTCAGCATCTGAACCTGAAACACTGACTGCAGGCAGCCACTGAGCCACACTTCCCTAAATACCGCGCTGAGACTCAGCTTCAGAATGAGACTGCGACCACGTGCTGAATCACACCGGTCCTCTGCTGCATGTTTTCCATTTCATACTTAACCCTTCTTCAGCAGGAAGGCCAGAGAGATGAGGGCTGAAGGCAGTGTCTGCAGTACATTCACCCCTGTAACCAGCAGACGGCCTCTCAAACACAGGGCTCAAATGCTCTAAATCTTTGTGGCACCATAACTTACTTTCAACTCCTGCCAACAAGAACCCAGCCTGTAAGTTCACAGCATTTGCTAGCAACAATTAACTAAGCACCAGCTCCTGGAGAGTGTGTACAGTGTGCTGCATTTCTGCTGGAATGTCCAAAATCAGTTTGCTTCAAGTAAAGAATCACCTGCAAAAATAGGATGTACCACCGTTTGCATGGTACATTCACAGCAGGACACTGTGTTTTGCTTGTCTACTCTCATATCAAAAAAAAAGAATAGAGCAGATCCAGAGAAGGTATTGAGAGGGATAACTACAATGATCAGAGATATGAAATGGATTTCATACAGAAAAAAATAATTTAAGACAGAAGCTGAGATGCAAGGTGACAGAGCCTATAAAAACAAAGCCAAGGGGAGGTGTTCAGCTTCTGGCCTCTTGCAACAGAAGAGCGGGTGAGTACAAAATGAAACTAAGCAGCACTTCCAAAACAAAAGAAAGTGCTTCTATGTCTGTAGCTGCACTGTGGAACGACATGCTGTAAGGCAGGGCTGATGATAAAAGTCTACGTGAATAGAAAAAGCCAGTATACAAATTCTTGGGGAAAGGAGGAAAACAGGGAAGCCATCAGGGGCTTTCTAAGACAGATGGTCAGGAAGTCCCTGCTCCAAGGCAGTCCCTGCTCCAAGAAAATGGAGGCAAACTGCACCTAAGTCAGCATTATTCTGTTTTCTATGTTCTTATATGACCCCCAAGATATCCATGTCAGAGGCAGAATACTGAGCTACAGGGGTCTGTTCCCTGAGCACACTGATATTCCCATGTAAAAATCTCCACACTCTCTCAATACTATGCACATTTTACAGACTGGGGGTAATAAAAATAAAAATGAAGCAACAAGTGCTTAAATGATTTATTTATGGTCATATTACAAGTCTGTGAACAATCCGGAAACTGAAACACTCCCAAACTTCAGTGCCAATTTCCCCAGAAGGAGAGGCAGTACTAGAATGCAGGAGAGTTGCCCTGTTACTCAATTTCATTCTTTTCTACAGGAAAGGTATCTGCAGGGATCAAGCTACAGAGGCTTAATTTAAGCCAGGTGTATGGAAAAAGTACCTGTGGCAAAGAGGAAAGATTACCTGGAATCCCATATAAAACTGTTCACCAGACTTGGAATCTGCATCACTAAAGAACAAAACCATGTCCAGCTTGGTGGTTTAGGATGTGAGATGCACACGGCAGTGCCTTT